AAAAATGACTGGTTTACTGGATTTACCGGTGAAAGTGATGGAAGTGAAACGGGAAAAAGTATAATCAGAGGGGACCTTGAAAGGGGGAAAAAAAAAAAATAAACAGCTTCCATTTTCAACATTCACAGAGAGAGAGAGAGAGAGAGAGAGAGAGAGAGAGAGAGAGAGAGAGAGAGAGAGAGAGAGAGAGAAGAGGGGGAAATTGATGACCACCACTCTCTTAATACTCCTCTTTATCTTCTCTCCTCCCAAGCTCAAAACGGTGTAGTTTTGGATTCTATCTTTATCGAATTCTTCGTTTTTCGATTCTTTTAACCATCTGTTTTGGTTGCGGGTTGAGGGATTTTGGAGAGAATGGAGTTTGAGGATCAAGATGAGCAAGATGAAGAGATGGGGATGGGAACTGGTTATGAGTCGCTCGGTAACTCGACCCGAGTCAAACTGGGGGGTCCGGAGGCGGTGGGGACGGTGACAGGGACGGCTCATCAGCAGAACAGGAAACCCAGGTACAGGGAGTGTCTGAAGAACCACGCGGTGGGTATTGGTGGCCACGCCGTGGATGGTTGCGGCGAGTTCATGCCGGCGGGGGTGGAGGGTTCTCTCGATGCTTTGAAATGCGCTGCTTGTAACTGCCATCGTAACTTCCACCGTAAGGAGACGGAACCGCCATCGTCTTCGGCGGGTGAGCTCTACCACCCCGCATCCCCACCAGGTGATGCCGCAGTTCGCAGCCTATTACCGGGGACCATCGGGGTTTTTGCAGGTGGCGGGGGGAGGGCAGCATCAGAGGCCGCTGGCGCTGCCGTCGACGTCCGGTGGGCAGAGCAGGGAAAGGGAGTTTGACCAAGAGGACATGTCGAACCCGATGAGCCTTGGCGGAAGTGGGTCGAGCAGGAAGAGGTTCAGGACCAAGTTCACGCAAGAGCAGAAGGAGAGGATGCTGGCGCTGGCGGAGAGGTTGGGTTGGAGGATCCAGAAGCACGACGAGGAGGTGGTGCAGCAGTTCTGCAACGAGACTGGAGTGAAGCGACATGTGCTCAAGGTGTGGATGCATAACAACAAGCACACCCTGGGTAAGAAACCCTAGGTATCTTTCATAGTTTAATGTGTATAACTTGCATTTTATGTGGCTGAAATCGATGAGATCAGGTAGAGCTATGTCCAGCTTTTGTAGGTAATGTTGGGTTTCGAGTGGTGGGTCTGACTCTGATAAGGGTTCTAATGCTTAGTTTTAGGGTTTTTCTTCCTCTTCTTCTTCTTCATCCTCTTCTTCTTCAGCTTCCCTTTTTTTTTTTTTTTTTAATTACTTTCACTCTTTAATTTCCTTCCGGGATTACTACTGAATGTGGGAATTTAAGAAGTGGCAGCAGTGATGGTTATGTTTGGATGGATATTAGTTAATTATGAGAACAGCTTACAGTAGATTTTAATGTTGATGGCAAGTAACATTTCTAGCTTTCTCTCTTAATTTTCCATGTCTGCTCTTACACACCCTTTCCTTTTATCACATGCTTATGAGCATTCCCACTGAATTCTTCTCCTCTCCTTCCTTGCCTTTCGTCAACAAGAAACATGACCAAAATGGTATCTTGGTCTTTCAAGCTTCTTACTTGGGTATAAACAGATTCTGATCATCATCATCATCATCACCACCAGTTCGCCATGGCCCATGGATATATATGTTGGGAAAAGGTAGGAAAATAAATGCAGTAGAGGAGATAAATTTTTTTGGAGAGAAGTGAAAAGCACTCTGCTGACAAAAGAAAACTTGCTAATATAAATTTTTTTTTATTTTTGTCATTACTAAATGTGACTATTTATAGGCTTACAGCCAGAACTATATAAAATAAAAATTATGATAGGATGAAATAAAATCTAGATAAAGATAATAAAAAAATTTCATCTAAACAAATATAATAGCACTATAACAAAGAGGAAATTTTAATATAGATATAATAACAATATATCTCATCTAAATACAATTAGAAGACATCTAACTTTGAATTAGTCTTCTAATACCATCCCATCATTCAAAATTACATATTACCAAGTTGTGCTATGTCGATAACATGTTTCTCGTATTAAAGAGCTTTCGTGAGTATGCCCATCGATTGTTCGTTAGTGTTGCAAAATTTCAAAACAATAACGTCTTTTGCCACCAATTCTCGAATAAAATGAAAATAAATGTTAATGTAGTTAGTCTGTTCGTAGAAAGTTGAGATTTTTAGTCATTGCGATTGATACTTTATTGTCACAGAAGATTTATGTTGGCTCTATTTGCTCTTGATGAAGATTGACAAAGAGTCTCCTTAACCATACAACTTGACATGCCTGATGGAGAAAAGGGCAATGATATATTCTATTTATAAAGAAGATGAAGCTATTGTAGTTCGATTCATTAAACTCTATATAGCAGTTCTTGACCCAATACTAAAAGTGCTTCCAGACGTACTCATTCGATTCATTTAGGGAATCTGGTCGATCACTGTTAGCAAAACTAAATAATTTGAATTACGAAACATAAGTTTACTTGATTTTATAATCCGATGTTCCCACAACATAACGTTGGATCTTTTTTGCAGTCTTAAAGTTGTGTTTTATAAGATTACTTATGAATATTGATACTATACCAATATAAATAAAATATCCGGCCGAGTGTGAGTCAAATAAATTCACCACCTCTATTGGATTGAAGGACTTTTATATAACACTCATTTGACTTCTCAATCGAGATCATAAAGTGAAACGTTCAAAAGTTTTTAATTTATTTTTGCGTAAAA